CGTGGGGGAAAAAAAATCTTGTCGGAAACTTACTGCCTTTTACGAAGCGCTAGAGCGCTAGCACTGGGGACTCCTTCCATGCATGTTCAATAAAAGTCTCTTTCTTGAAGTGAAGAAAATAAACAAAGCGTGTCGTGTTATTGACGCATATAAATAATATCTGCTTTTGAACGAATCTCATGAACTTATTTATCGAAGCTAATTCTTTAGCTGAGCTAACTTGCTCAAAGCAGTTTCGTCGTCTCTACATGCGAACGCTGTTCATAGTTCCGCTCTTCACACTCTACAGATCCGTTTTTCTCCGCATCAGCACGCCTCATCCGTCTGTTCTAGCGTGTTCATGCGTTGTATCCAGCGTTTCGGGGTCAGAGTACTGTCGCTTCTAAATTGTACGTTGGCACGGCGATGGTCCAAATTAGAACGCTGCAGTGACAGATGTTGTTTAGCTCTTAATTAATGTTTGTTTTATTAGAACTTCAAATGAATTTCAGTGTGAAGGCAAATGAAAGGTGTTATTTACTTCAGCAAAGGACAAAGCCTACACAGTCTGTGGTTTGTCTTTCGAGTAATTGCGATATGACCACGATGAAGCGCACGGTACTTGCGTGAGCATCGATTCTAATTTCATTTACTTTGATTTTACACTTTAGATCATGCCAAACAGCCAGCCTGCTAGGACGAGAACGTTAATTACGGTGTGTACGTTATAGCTGATGCTCGAAGATGGATTTCGCAGAGCTTTACAGTCTTTATAGGGCGGACCGTTCGATAGTGGAACGACATCTTCAATAAGACTGGTGGAACTGCAGCATTATACCATAGCGCTGCTGAATTCTCCATCCTGATTGGTCAGAATTAGGGGTGTAACGATACACTCGGATACTTTGAATTACATTTGAATGAAGAGAAATGACGACTGAAAAGACTCCAGGGGAAAAGACCGATGCAAACATAATGCGCTCCGAAGCAGCATTTTGAACGGAAAAAGAGCTCCAAAGTCGGCTAAAATGCCCGGGTTCTGCTAACTCTTCCTTGGGCACTGTAGATCACAGCGGCGTGGGGCTAATGTCATTTGAAAGCTACTTCTGCTACTGGAAGATCTTCCTGATAGAGGGGATTCATGCTTTCATAAGCATTATTACATGTTTGTGTTTAGATAGCAATAATTAATTCACAGGTCTTCAATGGCAGACAAATAACATCATCTAAGAATAATATTAATAAACAAACCAACTCTTAAAAAAACCCCCAAAACAACAGAATCCATCACATAGACTCTAATGGTTTCCACTACAAAAAGTCATTACTAACCATCAGCTAACCATTAAAACCTTTACCATTATTGGACCTTAATGGTATCCACTAGACATAATATGCCACCAATACAAGGCAACAAATTACCAGAAGAGAAAAACACAAGGACCATTACAGTTTCCATTAATACCAATACATTACCCATTATAACCATTACAAAGTCTATGACAGTTTCTAATTTTTTGTTTGTTTGATTTAGCGGGGAAATTAAGAAAAATCTATCATCACTATCATCATATGGTGATGTTTTCCGTATGGAGATGTTTATTTAACATGTTTATAGCTGCTTTATTCGAAGTGAGAACAGAAACTAACTTGCCTAGCGCAGTGATTCTCAAAGTGGGGTCCAAGCACCACCAGGCATTCATGAAGCAAAGACATGGGGTCTATGATTTATTTTATTTATTATTTATTTTTTTTCAATTGTCTTACATTATTGGAAATCAAAACACGCCATTATCAAGTTCTTATATGTAGAACCGAGTTGTTCGTATTATCAGCCTATTAGACGTGTCGCTTGATTTGAACAAGCAGCCTACTAATGACGTCAACTTGAACCTAATGTGTTCGCTTGGGGACATTTCCGGAATAAAAAGCTCTGGAGCTGGGCGAGAAATCGTTGGTAAGAAGCAACTCTTCTCCAGGCCATGCCGCATCACACTACCCTGTCACAGATTACTGTTCTATTCACACAGATCTACTACGCTTAGATTCAGCTCTGCCATTTTGTTGCTTTATGACTAAGAGCAAGGTCATATCATGCAGACGTGCTCAAAACACCTACGTTCGGAAACCAACAAACTATACCATATGGAATATGGAACTCTGCCATTAATGGAAAAAAAAAATGAATAAATAACCTGACCTCACATACGGATTACAAACGCTCCCATACGCTGTTTTTCAAAAGTAGCTCACACATGATGAGTGTGACAAGAACTAATGGACTCACGACCAATACAATCAAAGTGTCCACGTTATAGGCTACATAAATGGTTAAATGCTCAAGCGAACACCATTCGGATGATCTGCGACAGGTCCAAGATCTTACACCGAGTTCAAAGACGGGCCGTGTTCTCCAACGTGACTGGAAAGAATCATGATAATGATAAGGCTTTATTGGTCACGTATATATATGCACAGTGTAATCATTTTCTTCGTATACATATATAACATGTTAGGAAGCTTGGGGTCAGCGCGCCCCCTGGAGCAGAGAGGGTTAAGGGCCTCAAGGGCCAAAGCTTGGCAGTGCAGAGCCTTAACCCGCCAAGCCACCACTGCCCCCCAATGACCAGAATAATCATACGGGGGAGGGAGGAGGGGGATGATCATGGCCACGTGGATGGTTAACCTGTCTGCACATGCCTATTTGCAAAGCCTGGCCTGGTCTCAGATGTCAGATAAAGACGATGGAGATGATGGAGACTGCGTGATGCAGCATGCACGAGGTCAAGAAGAAGGTTGGCACCATGAATAATGAATCATATAATATAGGATAATAATAATAATAATAATAATAATAATAACGAACAGGTTTCGCACAGCTGAAAGGATGGACCGGAAGTGTGCCATACAGAGAGATCGAAAGAGTGCTTCAGTTTCTTCCTAAACACCGTCGTATGTCACGCTCCTGTGTGGACTGCGTCGTCACGCGGACGCGGACGCGTCTGCGCATGCGCGCGCAACAATTTGCTCGCTTCCTTCCTTCCTTCCACAGCTGCGCGCGTTCACAGAGAGTCGCCCCATCCTCCGCTTCCACGCAGCGTCATCTGTCCCCCATCAACCCTGAACTCCAAAACTCGAGTGTCTTTTTCTCATCCGTGCGTCTTGGAAACTTTTAACCAGCACTCGTTCTTCACATATTGTTGGGGTGGGGGTGGGGGGGTTTGGGGTGATTGCAAACTAGATTGCGTTTCGGTGCAAAACTTTACACATCGGATCGATTTAGCGTTTAGACTCCGACGTGTTCGATTAAAAGAACCCCAGACGCACACGGCGCTCGTCCAGAGCACCACGGCGGTCGTGGAAATAAACGCAGGAAGTCCCTGCTGAGTTTTTGGATGAAATTGCTCAACACTGCAAAACACACTGCGCATCAGCCTCCAGCGCGTCCAGTAAGGTGTTAATGCATTATGCAGACAGGGCTCCAGAGACGCACAAGATCACTGGCGCTAAATGCAAAATAATAATAATAATAATAATAATAATAATAATAATAATAATAATAATAATAAAGGCAATGGCATTTATGCTCTTTCAGGCAATAAGAATTCGTTTATTTAATGATGCGTAATAACGTGTAATAAAATGTGACCATAGGTGGGTGCAAAAGAGCGCCCGTTCTGGTGCCACCGTGGCCCGCTTACCGTGCGCGCGGGTGCACATCAGCGAAAACACGACGTTCCAAATGACAAATCCGCCTTTGATCCTGGCCGCTTTGGCGCGAGAAGAGTCCGCGCGAGTAGAGCACCGGACGCATCCTCCGTCGGCAAGGAGTACAAATCCACCGCGAGCCTCGGTCATGTCGGAGCGTCTTGACGAGGGGGGGAGGAAAAAAAAAGGGGGAAAAAAAAAAAAAAGCCGGGCTGTTTCCCCCGCGCGCGGAGAGGCTGGTGCTGAGCGGTCAGTGAGCGGGGTTACGGCGATTTGGTGCGCGAGACGCGGGGACAGGGCTCAACCATCTCGGCCGACGGGGGAACAGAGTGCAGTGCGCGCGCCTCCGGAGCTCCTCGGCACGAGCCGACCACCCGACAGCATGTGGGTGCCGCTTTTTAATCAGCGATCAATACACACACAATCTCTCTCTCTCTCCCTCTCTCTCTCTCTCACACACACACACACACACACACACACACGCACGCACGCACGCACGCACACACGCACACACACACACCCCAAAAAAATGCTCCAAGGTCTGATCCGCGCGCAGGTTCCTGACACGTTTTAAAGAAGCTCGAGGAGACGTGTTAAAGCAGCAACTCGGAGCACGCGAGGCTCGGCGCGTGTGATAAGCATGCAACTTTTTCCTAGCTGCGGATCTGTGGAGTCTGCTTAGAATGGAAATCGAGTTCTGATCTAAAAGCGTGCTGTGAAATGTGCGATTTAGGATGGAGTCTTCTGCCATCTATAGGTTATACAAGCAACTCAGACCTCTCTCTCTCTCTCTCTCTCTCACACACACACACACACACACAGGGGCGCAGCTAGGGTTTCTGGCCCCCCTGGCTAATTTGTACTCATGGCCCCACTGCAATTATCTTTTCTTATTGCCACATGTAAAAAAATAATAATAATAATTATCAATAAGCATAACATCCATCCATCCATCTACGACCGCTTACTCCTTTTCAGGGTCACGGGGGAACCTGGAGCCTATCCCAGGGAGCATCGGACACAAGGCGGGGTACACCCTGGACACATTCAATCAGAGACTATAAAAAACAAAATTTCCATCCATCCTCTAGAACGATTTCTCCTTTTCAGGGTCACGGGGAACCAGGGGTGCATGGGGCACAAGGTGGTCCAGTCCATTGCAGGGCACAATCACACACACACATTCATACACTACGGACACTTTAGACACGCCAATCAGCCTACCATGCATGTTTTTGGACTGGAGGAGGAAACCGGAGGACCCGGAGGAAACCCCCGCAGTACGGGGAGAACATGCAGACTCCGCACACACAAGCACACAGTGGGAATCGAACCCCCGACCCTGGAGGTGTGAGGCAACCATGCTAACCACTCAACCATGCACCCAACCACTTGTCCACTCCCTCTCTCTCATACACAGACACTATAGAAACTCTGTCTGGATGTCTTTATAATCTATCAACTTGTCATTTCTAATTCCCCAAGTACCAAGGACAATCATCATCATCATCATCATCATCATCATTATTATTATTATTATTATTATTATTATTATTATTATTATTATTATTATTATTATTATTATTATTATTATTATTATTATTATTACTAGAATGAATAACAAGTTTCACACACTCCAGCTCCAGAAAGAAATGTGGAAATGAGCTAAAACAGTGACAGGAGCATTGAATCGTTGAGTTGAACTCGAGAATCGAATCGGTTCTTTTCCTGAATGAATCGTTCAGACTCGTTTTTTTTATCAACAGGATTCTCCAATTCATTGAAATGAACCGACTCAGACAAACGATTCAGTCACGAATCGGACATCATTACAACACTTATCTCATAAACTCACCCGGGACATTTAAAGCAGCTTTTATATGATTACATTAAATGTCGATCGATTCCTCACAGAAAGCTGTCGCGAGGCTTCGGAAAGCTTGAATATATACGACACAGGACTAGTTTTGTCGTCGCTCGGTGCTTTCTGAAGCTCGATGCTCCATTACTGTTGATCGACTATAGACATTCTTGGAAATATTGTGTTCCGACTTCCAAGGATAAACATCGGGGGGAGTAACTGGTTCCTCAGATGAAAATAACGGCAAATATTCCTGCTCATGAGTTGAGATCATTGATCGTAGAATGTAAAATCGTGGCAATCGTTTTAGCGCCAATAACTCACCAATAACCATTAAAAATCCCTTCAGTTTGTCCCTCTAGGAAATGCTTAAAGGTTCTAGGTAGGATCCATTGATGTAAAGTCCGTTTAGAAAGCATGCAACCAACAGAACCAATAAGCCAACCAGGAGAACCATCCATTTTCCATACTACTTATCCTACACAGGGTCAAGGGGTAGCCTTGAGCTTGGGACGCTCCTAGGGAACTTGGGGGCACAAAGCAGGGGACACTCTGGACAGGGTGCCAACAAGTTGCAGGGCACAATCACACACACATTCACACACCATGGACGATGCCAATCATGTCTTTGGACGGGAGGAGGAACCCAGAGTACCTGGAGGAAACTCCCAAAGCACGGGGAGAACATGCGAACTCCACGGACACAGGGCGGAGGCAGGATTCGAACTCCCAAACGCTGGAAATGCGAGGAAAACGTGCTAACCACATAGGCCCTCCCTCCAGGAGAACCAATAACCATTTAAAGAATGAACTCCTGGAAACCTTCATCGAAACTTTACTTCAGAAAGATTAGGAGCAAAAGCCCTTCATCTTGTCTTTCTAAGAAACCTTTAAAAGTTCTATGTAGAGCTCTACAAAATAGGGTTCCCCTTTCACAAAACGTTAGAATCAATAAGCCAACCAGGAGAACCAATAAGCCTCCATAGAACCCTTGTGAACACTTGCTGATTCTTCATGGTTAAAATATACTGAAATTATACTCTAATTACTACATTCTTTGAGGAAAAAAAAAACTTCTTAAAACCAAATAAACCTTTAAAATTCCTCCGTTTTGCCGCTCTAGGGAACCCATAAAGGTTTAATGAAATATTTTAAAGAACCCCTGATGAACCCTGCATCGAATTGCACACTAAGGACTATATTATTAGGTTAAGCTCTTATTTGAAAAAAGGAAAATGTCGAACTCTTAGGGTTCTTGAGTTTGTCCTTCTGGGGAAACTCTAGGATTTGATGTAAAACCCTGCAAAAGCGTCTCAAGTGTCGTGTCAAAAGGTTTGCTGTAAATATTTTTGACTCAAAATCTGTGTTGGGGAGGAAGAGATGTTCACCCTTGTTCAAAACCTGTTTACGTCCCATATGCAGCAGGTAGCTTTGTCACCATACAGGGCCGGGGTCCCCAGTTACCCCAATTACCCCAGGTTACTGTCTGTGTGGAGTTTCATGTTCACCCCATGTCCTTGTGGGTCTCCTGCAAGTTCTCCAGTTTGATCCCATCTCCCAAAACCACCGCAAGGTGAATTGGCTATGCTAAATTACCCCTCCCGTCCAGAGTGTATTCCCACCTCATGCCCAGTGTTCCTGGGATAGGCTCTGGATCCAGTGCATAATAATAATCTTCCTGGAGATGAATGAATGAAAATGCGTCGCAGTACTCCTTGTGTCTGAAACGATGAATCATTCATGACATGACAGCTTTACGGCTCAAACGTTCAGAGCTAATAAGCGTGTAGGAAGTATTATCTCGAGTCTAGATGGACACACAAACTCTCACACGGTAACAGAATACATAGTGCACTTCGGAGAATCGGAATCAAGACATGTTACCGAAGACATGTTCCCGGTTCATGTTCCACAGCACATTTGAGAAATCCTGTACATATGTTATCATAATACACTGATTCCTAAAAGACTAATGAACTACTCAGTATGAGCGAGAGTGCAAGCCTCTTAGGAGCTGTCCGTGGTGCTGAATTAATAAAGTGCAAACGTCTAAGCTACAGTTATAGCAAGCTTTTCTTTTTTTTTTTTTCTTTTTTTTAACACAAAGAAATGATAGAGCATTGGGGTTAAACTGGAAGTCGATGAAGCATTTAACATCTCCCTCCATAAATTAGGCAAAGGCATAAATTAATGAACACAACCAGACACATCCCTGCCTTGAGAGTGGTTACGCAGTAATTTGGTGACGTCTGAACGGTCTCTGCGTTACGAGTTCATCGGGAGACCCACATAAAAGTCCGAGTTTGTTTTTAAACGGAGCTACCGAGAGCTTCAAAGAGCGTGTCACGCGTGACAGATTTAATGCATGTTGCATCAAACAGAAGAGTTTCTCGAAAAGAAAAAGGAACGTCGTAAGTTTTAGGATTCACGAACGGGAATATTTCGTCTCAAGTAACCGGCTTCATAATTAATAATTGGACATAATTAATAAGTGGCTTATACAAGATGCATCAAGCTAACAGAAATACTAAGTAGATATGCGTTCTTTCTAATGATTGGTGGTGTGCTTCTTAAAAAAAATTGACTTTAATGATTAATTGAACAATTTATTCAAATGGCTTCACGGCTATTTAGACATGCAAAAAGGACCTACAAATAGTAAAGAAATATCGGTTTTATTTTGTAGTGTTTGCCAATTTGAAAGAAATACTGAGTGAAATGGATAAAATTGGATCGCTTGGTACTTATTCTGCTTATTATCTGATGGTACGTCATTTAACAGTTAGTAAATTCACCAACATTTAACTGCATAAAGGGTTTAGAATGCTAGAGAGGGAGAGAGAGAGAGAGAGAGAGAGAGAGAGAGTCTTTTCCAGTCATGCTGGACTAAATTAGCTTTTTCCCAGGCATTGCTTCATCTTCACCATAACCTCAATATATTCCAGGTGATTGACAGGAGCACTGCTGCCAACAACTTTCAATAGAACGGTTGCTAAATGTCGCTAGATGATGTAAATGTCGCTAATTAGCATATTCATTACGTTATCGCGTCGTATTTGCATTCTGCCTCGTGTCGGCCCTTTACATCTGTTTGCTTCTCTCTTACTCTCTGTGCTCGCACGTCGTATATTTAATACAGCAGAATTCCCAACAAAGCTGTTCTCATTTACATATTTTTTCTGTTTCGGTTATCAGACAACAAACAAGTATGAAATAATGACTGAAACATTAAAAATACATGTTAACCAGCAGTCACTTCCGAGCAATTTCCAAGCTACATGCTCTGCACTGCTAAAATCCTGATTTTATAAAGTCATCGGAGGAGTTTCTACATGTAAAATGATCGCTCGGAGAGGAAGTTAGAAACAAAACAATGTGCTCCTCTCTCTTTCTGCCACTAATTTGACAGAGAAGATAGTGTTTAACAGAGAGTGGTGTACCTGCTGCGGGAAAACAGGACCTCGTGCTCGTGGGGCAGTAGTGGCGACTCTCTTCTATGGATAGCAGCTATGCTAAGTCGCTAGATTTGTCGCTAGGTGTGTGTTTGAAAATAAAAGTCGTTAAAGTGGTCTGAAAAGTGGACCGGCACTGCCATGTATTCGTTCTATTCGTGTTCTATTGAAAACATCACTTTAACGTTATTTAGTGATTTAGTATTTATTGATTTTTTTTCCAAATTCACTACATTTTTTTTTTTTAAATGTCTATTTTCAAGATTTTTCAGTAGGTACATATCAAAAAGCCAAATTCAAGTACTTCAAGCATTTCAAGCACCTTGTAAGAACCCTGATAGTGACAGTGGCCCCATCTTCTTCTTGGACCAGTTGATACAAAAGTCAATATTGGTGAAAATATATTACCTCTGTTTGCTTCATTGACGTTTTTATCCACATAAATAGCTCACTGTCTGAAAGAAGAAGAAAAAAAGATCATTTCCCAGGGGTGATGGGTACCAGGAAGCAGGGCAATAGCACAATACTATTCACAACAACGGGGGGGATGGGGGGCGGGGGGATATGTGGCTCAGTCTAGCAGTTGTGAGGTAATAACCAGATTAGGAATCCGAATCAGTTCACCAGTAGGAAAGCACTGAAATCAAACCATAAGGGCAGCTTTCAGAGATCACACCGGAGGTCATAAGAAGGGGACATCTCTATCAGAATCCAAGACAAAATAAAATAAAAACTCAACTAACGACAAAACTTGAGTGAAAATATTCAAGCAAACATCCTAAATTAAATATATTGAAATGTATGTAATAAAAACAACAGACAGAAGATTTCCAACCTTGGACTGCAACCGGGCCATGGGTCATTTGGTACCGGGCCGTAGTAAGTGCATTAGGCTTTCCGTAGGACATTTATTGATATTCAACTTTATAACTAATATATTTTGCTCTTCAATTGCTCACACATGGGCTGTATCATAACTGTGTACATTGTAGTCATACAGAGAGGTCAATATCGTTATCTTCATCACCAATGAGATTCTCTAGTCAATGCAGATGCGTCTCTTATTTTCAGCC